TATATATATATATATATATATATATATATATATATATATATGCCTCTCGGAGATCCCATGCCACACCCATGTTTCTTTCTTTAAAAGTTTTCCTTTCTTCAAATATGTGGTTGGAAAAAAGAGATCTATCAGTTTCTTTAATCATCAAACTAGCTTTTAACACACTGCCTAACCTGGAGGTGCTGGGTCAGTTATTTGGAACTGTGTAGAAAAGGCCCACAAAACACCAGTCTGGGTCATGGAGGAGTCATATTAATTCTTGTGTTTATTTTTTACACATATCACGTTTTTAACTACATCAGTTTTACAGGCATTTCCACCTTATATTTGTAAGGATAGGAGAAGTTTTAAATGTAATTTTTTTGGTTGTTAAGCCAGAGAAATCATATTACCCTGTGTTGATGATCATTTTGGCAAATTGTTCCATCTTTTTAGGAGTCAGGAAGTACGGCAAAAACTTTCAGGCCATTGCTGATGTCATAGGTAACAAAACGGTGGGACAGGTGAAAAACTTCTTTGTGAACTACCGTCGTCGGTTCAACCTGGAGGAGGTACTGCTGGAGTGGGAGGCAGAGCAAGGAACTCGGCCTCAAAATGGAGAAACCACTTCAAGTGAAGAGGGAAAGAACAGTTCAACCACCCCTTCAACGAAGAGCACTGATGAGGAGGATGAAGAGGTGAGACCTTTGCATGTTCAGATTAGAGCCCTGTATTTCCCTATGTATTTTATAGTTTTTTGTGCATACTATCAAACCCAACAAACTTCACAATAATGATTCAAGCTATTTAAATCTTTTATAAGTTCCCTTAGATTCATTAATATCCTTTCAGGATCTTATATAGCCTCAAACTTGGAATTGTTTTATATAGGTTGTTGCTCTGCCTTATCTTATCTACAGGGTCAGGTTACTTCTTCAGGTGCGTCTCCTGCCACTGCCTCCTCTTGTTCTTCCATTCAAAATCCTGTGACCTCCAATGCTCCGTCCTCCTCTCTCCACCAGCCCCCACCACTCCTGAGGCCCTCTCTGCCAGCCACACCTTCACTACATCGCCAGCCACCGCCGCTCCAACAACAGGCTCGCTTTCTGCAACCTCGAACCACCCTACAGCAACCCCCACCTCTTATCCGTCCCTCCAACGCCATGCCACCACGCCTCAACCCTCGCCCTACTCCTGTAAACCTTGGCAATAACACTGTGGATCCAGCCCAGAGCTCCAACCAGCAGCCGTGCGGCCTGTCAGACACAGCTTCATCCTCTTCTCTCCAATAACTTCAGATGTCTTAGAGTCAACTTCTCAGTGAGTGGAGGTGTACAACATCAATCTTAATAGCACTGACATTTTAATTGTACCAAAATACTGTATTACAAAAAAGTTAAAAAACATCATTCAGACATTGTTGTTTTATTTCCAATATTGGAATCTGAAGTGAAATGTCTTTTCCACTGATCTTGAATGCAGCCTCTGTTTGATTATTGTGACATGGTTTGATTCAATTCAATTAAGTTTACTCATATACCGGTAGTCACAACACAGCCTTCACACAAAGACAATTCTGCTATAAAGTGACAGATCATACAGTCAGATTGGTAAAAAGTTTTCTGGCCAATGAAAACCAGCTGAACGCCTTGAGTCATTGACTTGCAGGACAGACTGGATATGCATGTGGCAACAGTAGATATCTGTTTTGATTTTGTTGCTGATTACACTGCCATCCCACAAACTAAGCAAGCATGTAGTGACAGCAGAGTGGAAAAATTCCCTCCTGCAATACCAGGCTCCTTCTGTTCAAGGAGACAAAAGCAGACATACAAAAGAATAGTAGAAGCACTGATACAGAAATACTGAACATGTTAAAAAAAGGTTATGGTAAATTAGCTCCATAAGGGGCTCTGTCTAGGAGTTTGAGCTCGGAGGCAGTTTTAATGTCAAAGGGATGAAAGAGAACACATACTTTTAGCCAGAGTTAAAGCTGAGCACATAGCTATGTCTAAGATTTAAAAAAGAGCTAAACAGTGAAAAACAGGCCCAACTCTATCTTTAATCAAAGGTGTTGACTGCAGCAGCCAAGCTGATATTTACCTCCAGGACGACATCACTGCCAAAAAGGATCAGACGAGATAAAGCTACTTTGACTAGAAAAACAGATAGCATAAAGTTACAGGTTAAACTACTAAATACTAGTGCTAGATACTGCAGAATAGGGGATAAAGATTCAATTAAACGATTGAAAAGGGGTCCCTATGTCCTCCAATAGTCTAAGCCTATAGCAGCATAATTATGGAGATAGCTCTGGATAACCTGCGCCACTATAAATATAAACTTCAATCAAAAAGAAAGGTATTAAGCTTTGCCTTAAAAGTAGAAAGGGTGTTTGCCTCATTGATTAAAACTGGTAGTTCATTCCAAAGGACAGGAGCCAGATAACTAAAACCCTTGCTACCGTTCTACTAGTAAACCCACAATGATTTGTTTGAAACATATAGAACAATCAAATCTCTAATATAAGATGGAGCTTGGTTATGTACATGTACTTCTTTGAAACACTATGTGGGAGGGATCTGAATTTTTTATTTATGAATCAGGAAAAAGCCCAAGCATACATAGACCTATGGAAACTTATTGCAATCTAATAATTACGATCTCATAATTACAAGATAAGATCTCGTAACTACGAGATCAGTATCTGGTAATTAAGAGATCTTATCATAATAATGAGGAGATATCTCCTAATTAAAAGATCTTATCTATATATTTGGTTATTATTACTTAAGCCAGTAATGTAACATCTCTCAGAAAAGGGGTCTTCATGATTAATTCTTAAAAATATCTGCATCTGTTCCACTGAAAAGTTCTCTGTACCCAGGTCTGACCTGATTTGCATCGGAGTTGCGCTTCTGATTTCCACTTTATCATTAAAGTACCCAGGTATAACCCTTTGAATACTACCTGTGGTACTGCAGCCATATGACCATATGCCAAAATCCTTTAACAGCTCCATTAATACAGATTCTGTATGGTTTTAGTTTTTCGTATGAATCAACATGCCACATGAAGTTGGGACCTGGGTTTCTGTAGAGACGTCGTCTTAGACAATATTGAAGCCTCAGCTGTACTACTTGACGAAGGATTTTTGACCAGGTATCGAACAGTTCCTTTGAACACCACTAAGCCAGCTTGAATGCATTTCAGATGCATTAATCTATAGCCATGAAGCATCCCATACTGGTTTAAATGCTCCTGCAGGAACAGTTTGACTTCGAGCAACTCAGAGTAGAGTGTGCTTTTTCGCCTAGAAAATCCTAGGTTAAGGTATATGCGCAATAGTGACAAACTAAAGCTAATTCCATCCACATCGAGGAAACTCAGTATTTCCCAGCAAAACCTAAAAGAAAATAAAAGCATATTAAATCCGACAATCCACATATTGTTCACGTTTCACGTAGCTTAGCTCAGCAATGCCATGACTGTCCTTCCTGATCTCCTAAATATGACATATTATGTCATATTTATGACATCTTGTTTCATAATTATGAGATAAGAGCTCATAACATTCAGGTCAGGATCTCATAATTAGGATATCAGAAACTCGTAATTATGAGATATTATCTCATAATTATTACATTTTATCTTGTAATTTTGAGAAAAGATCTCAGAATTACAAGATACTGATCCCGTAATTATGAGATAAGCTGTCAGATGTTTTTTTCTTTGGTGAATGCAGTATGCTTATGTATAGACCAGTATTCATTCATCTCTATAGCTTGATAAGGAAATAACATCCTTATGTAACATCCACATAAGCCATGTAAAGAACATATAAAATGACCGATGGTAGGTGCTTTAGCCTTTCATTCTCAAACAAATCTGAAGTGCGTTTGCCTTAAGGTGTACACAGTGTTGCATACAAAATGGGCTCAATCATACAGTTGGAACTGGTCTTATCACCAATTACTGGCCAGTAATTTCCTCCGATGCATTTTTCCTATGTCTGTTTGGTGGTTTCATAAATATCTATGTTGACAAGAGCAATCAATCCAAATTTCTTATTTTATTAGAGGAGTCAACTTCATCCTATTTACGTTTTCCTGTTTGCAGAAAAGCTAACAAGCTTAAATGGAAATCTTGATAGATCCTGAAGATTATGATGAAGTGACGTGTCGTGAAAATGGTCAAACAAGTAGTAACATTGTTTAAGATTAAAGTTAAATAATTTTAGACTAGGTATTTATCAGATAAAACCTCTGAATGAAGGAATATATACTTCCTTCATACCAGACCTTCCCTTAACCTTGAGTTTTTTGTACATACTGTTGTATTGTTATAACCATTGGACACTGATATAAGATTTTGGCAGAAGTATAAAATGTTTTTTGTGTATGTGATTTTTTGTCTGTTAATTATTTATAATTTCTTTCTCTATTAAGGATCCTACTGAACAGTGGGTTAATCCCACTCTTAACTGTGTATTACATACTTGCTCATATGATTCGCAAATGAAATAAACATAAATCCCCCTGATGGAATTTATTTAGAACAATATCTCCAACATTTTGATTAATTTCTTTTATAAGTAGCATAATAAACATGTCTTATCTTTGTTTTGTAATTTGCTGACAAAGGATAGAAGAAGGTGGCTTGTGGTTAAAAAGTTAAGCTAACTACGCAGCCTTCTAAAATAGTTACAAGTACCTTTTTCAAACTCCTCAAACTGTCACTATTGGTCCTTAAGGAGGATCCTAAACCCCACATTGTTCTCTGGCCACTGCAAGCTGCCCATTGCTCCCTAAGGGATGAGTTAAATGTAGCAGAATAACATTTCTTTTATGTATATTTCCACCCTGTAGAGGATTGATTATTGAACATTAACTTTTAGCAAGATAGAATCAGTAGGATTCTATCAGTCCAAATAGACCTTTGCTACAGTCTGCTAAATCCATCAGTTACTGTACCAATCTTGAAAATGCTTAAGGTTAACTGAAATCCTGTGGATCTGTTTTTTTTTTTTTATAAAAAAAAAAGTAAAGTCAAACATTTTTTTTATGTAAGCAAAATGTTATTGTTGCTCTCTTTTATTTTTTTTTTTATCATCCTCTCTTTTGTATGTATATACAAAGAAACTGGGAACCAATTTCTGTTTTGGACTTCATGTAATGTTATTATGGAAAAAATGCTTGTAATTAATTTTGTTTTTACACGTGTCACATATCACGTCTATATTTACTGGAATCATATAGAAGGTAATTTTTTTCATTATAAGTTTGACCTTTGCTGTAAAGCCACAAAATTTCCTCTTTCTGGAGTTGGAATTAATAGTTATCAATAAATATTTTGTATAAAGTTGTTTAATTCTTCATAAGATAGGTTTGCTTATTATGTTGAGGATCTTTCAGGTTGAACGGAGGCCACTTTGGCCTTCTTACCTTAAAGAGGAATGCCGTTTTTTTTTACATTGGGCCCTTGATTTTACATTATTACATCATGTTCTACTCACCCATATTAGTTTTGTGCCATTTGGAGCTGTTCTGAAGATATTCCGTTAGGTTATATCCAAGTAACGTTTTCCTATGGGCAACAAGTTGAAGGCACAAACTAAACTCAGATTAGCTCGCCGAATGAATAGAAGGTGTAGAGCGTAGCCGGCTGTGGCCCGGGCTGCCTGTTACTTTTTTTTTATTTTTTATTATTAATAAACTTTATTGAACAAATGTACAAAACAAACAGGTTTTGTATTAAGGGACAGCACATCAGAGGGGGAGATATAAAGACTTGCACAAGAGTTACACAATAATTGAACTAGACAAGAAAAAAAACATTAAAAGGAAAAATAATTTGAAACAGTCAATAAAGTCAATAAAATACAAATGACAAGTGTTAAATAATAATAAAAAAAAAGTTGTTAAATATAAGGAAGTGTTTTCTATAGTTATCAAGAAACATGTTCTTTTTATTTTTAATCAGTTTGAGGGATGCAATCAGAGAGTTCAACTCTAAGAGAAAGTGAGTAATGTTAGGAATCGAGTTTGCACATTTTTGTTTGTAAATGAAAAATTTTGCATATATGATAATAAAATGAAGCATATGTTCAAAGTCACGATGTTCAGAGTTATAGTAATAGCAGATAACATCTTTGAGAGTTAGTGTGCATACAATTTTAGTTGAATGGAAAAAAAAAAAGATTCAATGTCACTCCAAAATTTTTGGGATTCATCACAACTAAAAAATAAATGCAAAGTCGTTTCTGAAGTTCTTTTACAAAACGTACATGAGTCACTTATGTCCATAAATCTAGCAATAATACAGTTTACAGGGTATATATTATGTAAGATTTTAAAATGTATATCTTTGGCTTTGTTAGAAATAGAGTATTTATGAGGTAAGAGCCAGGCTCTTCTCCAGTTTATGCTATCAGTATGGGTACGCCAATAAAATTTACCTCTAGGTGTGATAAAGTTTTTTCTTTGAAAGCACTGGCGTATGTGTCTATTGTTACATCTTCTGTCTGTTAGGTTAATTCCTTCCAATATGAGAGTGGGTAGAGTTTTCGTAAATTTACAGTAACTCAAGTGACTTTTTACAAGTTGAAATATCTTTTTAGGGATAGCATTAATTATCTTGTTAAATTCTCTGAAGGGAACAGGAAAACTATAGAAGGACATGAAGCACTCATAAGAAAGCATATTGCCAGTACAGTCAAAGATTAAGGATGTGATTGATATCTCTTTTAAACCAATTTATGAAGAATAAGGACTTGTTTTTAATCAAAACATCACAATTATTCAAGATGATAGATTTGTGAGGTGAAAAGTTGTGGACAAAAGCCAGCTTCCAAGCTAGAAGGGCTTGCTGGTGAAATTTGGACAATTTGATGGGTAATTTGTTAGGTAAAAACTTACATTTCAGAAGGAAAGACAGGCCTCCTATCTTATTAAAAATATGACTTGGGATGAAGAACCAGATTGATTCAGGGTTTATAAGACATTTTTTAACCAGTTGACCTTAAAAGTGTTGATGTTTGATAGTACACCTTTTTTAAGTTTGTGTGATTTGTTTTTTCAAATGAAGTTTAGAAACATTTTGTTAACTTCTGTAGCTGTCAAATCGTTAACAAAAAGAGATAAGGAAGGATATACGAAGCGAGAGAGGCCTTCTGCCTTAGATAGAAGAACTCTGCCAAGGACAGACAAGTCTCTTTGAAGCCAAGAATTACAAATGGATTTAGTTTTTATCATTCTGTTTGAGAAGTTTAAATGCTGTCTGGCAGTAAGATTTTTAGTAATGAATATGCCTAAATATTTTACTGTTTCCTTAACTGGGATATCATAAATCAAAACATCATTGCAGTTATGTAGAGGTAGAATTTCACATTTGGTTAGATTCATTGGAGAATTGGTCAACCAGATTAATGGAGTTGGGTAAATGGTATTTATCTTTAAAAAAAAAAGTTGTATCATCAGCAAGTTGTGAGATTTTTAATTCTCTACCGAAAATAGAAATGCCCTCAAATTTCTTATCATTAACTATGTGAATTGACAATAATTCAACAACTAAAATAATTAAAAAGGGTGAAATGGGGCAGCCTTGAGGAACACCTCTGTTAATTTGGAATCTTTTAGATGTATTCATATTAATTATCACAGAGCTGTTAATATCTCTGTAAAACATACAAACAATGTCAATAAATAATCGTCCAAATCCAAATGCTTCAAGGGAGTGAAAAAGAAAATTATGCTCAATTGTATCAAAGGCTTTATAGAAGTCTAGAAACAATATAAGTGCATCAGAATTAATTTCGTGTGGATAGTCAATTAAGTCCAAAATCAATCTAATGTTATTGTGATGGCTGCAACTACAGCCACCCAAATGTGGTAACATTCAATCACAACACCCACTAAGAAAGCAAGTCTCATTTCATTTATATTGGGATTTCTTTACATTTAGGATTTAATTTACAGAATTTTTGTAAATCATAACACTGTATTCTAGAATAAGTGTGCACATTTTAGTTTACACTGTTATGTTCTGCTTGATTTAATCTTTGTTTGTTTTTTTGAGTCACCTCAGTGCTGGCTGCTCCAGTCCTTCAGGAGAACAGAGATGGAGAAGGGGTGGAGCCAGCCCATTGAAGCTGCAAATTGGTTTACACCACTTCTCATCAGCAAGAGGGGGGGAATGGGATTTTCCTCTGTTAATTTCAGTTAGGTTTTTGTGTTTCCCCCTTTGTATCTTCTATGTGGCCTGATCAGCCAGTATTTAAGTTTTCCCTTTGTCTCATGTAGCAGGTCTGTTTTTTTCAGTAGTTTTTTTTTGTTAGCCTGAGTTAAATTCTGTTACTTTGACCTCTTTTATGTGCCCAACTTTGTAATTTGTCCTTTTTTGACCCAGTTTTTTTGTTTTGGGTTCAATAAAAAGAAGACTTTTTTTGGATCTGAACCTGTGCCTGATCTTCCTTTGACTGCTCAGACCATCACAACAATCCAGCCCTTTCTTTAGTCTATTGGCATATGTTAAGGTTTAAATTTTGTAATCTATTGTTAAAAGAGTTATAGGGCCCCAATTTTCAATTATTAGGGGTCTTTCCCAGGTTTAGGGATGAGAGATATGATACCTTGCTTCATTGTAGGGGACATCTCTCCATGATTAATGCATTCCTAATCATGTACATATGAAATAATGGGACTTGGATGATTTCCCAAAAATTATTGTAAAATTCTACAAATAAGCCATCAATGCCTGGCGATTTGCCCTCTTTCATTGAAAACAGAGCATTTTGGATTTCTACAATTGTGAGATCAGAATCACAGACAGATTTAAAGTCACTCTCAATAGAGGGTACATGAAGATGAATATTTAGCAAAAAGTTATCACATTTCTCTGCATTGAAATTAGATTGATAGAGCTTTCCATAAAAATCAGAGATTAATTTATTGATTAAACTTGAATTTTTAGATAGCGATTAAGAGCTGTTAAAGGGATAGTTCGGTATTTTTGACATGAATCTGTATGGCATCCCCATCACCAGTGGCATGCAATCACACTGACTTACCCCTGAAAGCACCCTGTGAGCAGAGTTATCGTCCAGTTTTGGTCAAGCCGAAAGTAGTCCGGCAGGTTT